TGGTCTTTTTGCTTTTTACCTTCCCCAAGAGGGGACAGTCTGGCCAGCTTGCTCCAGTAATGCAATAAAGACATTGCAATAAATAAAGCAAAAAATAGTGAAACAGTAGGGAAAGGGGCAGGGCACAACCTTTAAAGGAATGACATATCCTGAGGACACGACATAAACTGATTACAACCAAATAGGTCCAAGATGGTGGACGAGTCAACTTCCTCCAGACCTTGAGCCCCAGTATACACTCGCTGTAACACATCAGCACTCTAAATGACACATCCACAGGCATCATGACAGTTCCAAGGCTGACCATAAAGGTCAAAAAGTAGGTGGTGGCCCAATTCCTGGGAATCTCCACCCATTATGCAAAATAGCTAGAATACTCCTCCCACTCATTAGCCTACAAATTTACCCACCCCTATAAAAACTGACAACCCCATACCCTGGGGCTGCTCTCGCCTTCTGAGATGGCCCACACACTGTCCATGGAGTGTGTTTCTCTCTAAATAAATCCACTTCTTACCTGTCACTTTGTCTCTCACTGAATTCTTTCTGTGATGAGACATCAAGAACCTGAGCTTCATTAAGTCCTGCGACCAGGTGTGTGATCTCAGTTGAAAGACTGTGGGTTTTGGCCGGGTTCAAGTCCCAGCTACGTGGATGCAAGTCCCAATCAGGGTTTTGGCCAACTTTGAGTCTTGGATGCGTGGGTTCAAGCCCCAGTCTGGGTTTTGAGTCCCAGCCTGAGGGTTCAAGTCCCAATCTGAGTTGCACAGTTTTAGTTTCAATAGTGAGAAGAAGAAATAAAATAAGAGTCACTAACCAGAATTATGATTCAGAGTCTGGAATCTGGCTGCTTCCATTCATTTCACACTCAGTACTGCAGCCCTCTCATTCTCCCCATGAGCTCTTTATGTACATGTCTGTCTTGCTGTCTTAATTATCTTTGTATCCTTGGGTGTGCCTGTCTCCAGCACCTTCCACAGTGTTTTATAAGAGCAGGTACTCAGTAAGCATTTGGTCAACACGTATGTACACAGGTAGGCCTCAGCTTAGGAGCTCTGCATTTCAAGCACCCTCCTGCCCCTCTGTCATTCTGTTCTCTAATTTCCCCTCAGATGTCAAGGAGCTTTCTGCCTCCTCTTCTTCACAAGGTAAATACCTTATATCCAAACTCCATTCTGTAATTGGATAAATCCCCCTAAAGATGCTCAACCTATCTTCAGGAAACAGCATCAAAAGTACAATGATCCTATTTTCCAAACGTTAACACTGGAGCATGTGTTCTAACCAGTAAAAATTGACTCAGTAGGTATTAGAAAGTAATACAGTCTCTCGCTATCCGAGGGGGATTGGTTTCAGAACCCCAAAGGATACCCAAATCTGAGGATGCTTAAGTCCCTTATATCAAATGCCATAGAGCAGTCGGCTTTCCATACTGCAAGTTCCGCATCCACGGATTTAACCAACTGCTGATACAGAGGGCCAACTGTAGCTGTAATTAAGACAGTTCCTGACAATCCAAAATGTATGATGGTTGAGGCTCAGAGAGGACAAGGAGAATGGATTGTGCTGTAATCCTCCAAGGCCCTCCTTTGTGGTCTGGCCCAGTCTATCTCTCTGATCTCCCCTCTGGTCTCTCTCTTCCTCCCAGGGGCTGCTCCAGCCATGCTGGCCTCCTTTGGTCCCTTGAACCAGGCAAGCTTAGTTCTATCTCAGGTGCTTTGCTCTGGCTCTTCCCTCTCACTGGGACCCTCTTCCCTAGATCTCTGCAAGATTCCCCTCTTCTTACCATCCATGTCTCAGGCAAAAGTCACCTCCTCACAAAGGCTTTCCTTAACAATGGCCACCCACAGATGTCCCTTGCCCCTCGTCACTCTAGACCCTGTTGCTCTGTTTTATTTTCTTCCTGGTATTTACCTCTCCGTGAAAGTATCTTAAGTTTGCAGTCTTTCTCCACCTCCACCCTACCGCCCACTATGATGTAAGCCTCATAGGGTACATCCTACCATTTGTCTGCTCGCATATCACAGCACCTAGAACAGTGCCTGGGACAGGACAGATGCACCACCAAACTTTGTGGAATGAGGGAGGAACACTGCCCCTTCTTGCTACTGCTCCATCACTATCCTCTGCTCTGTGCTGCTGAGGATTTCGTGGTCTGTTTTTGCAAGCCTAAGTCCACCCAAACATCTGCAGGAAAATGCACCTGCCACAGCAAAGGGGCACCCATGGGAAGATCCCACTTTGGGCTGGGTGGAAATGGAAGTCAAAAGTTTAGGACAGAAGGAGGAAACAGAACTGGAGACAGAGCTAAGTAAAAGAAATCTGCTTAAAAAAAGGAGGAGGGGACTTCAGCTGTAATATCTGGAATGCTCAAGTTGGACTGGGATTCATGATAACCCAGTTGTGTCTTTGTCACAAACCCACCACGTGGCCTTGGATTTGTCACTGCTCTTCTCTGAGCTTCAAAGGCCACACGCATAAAGTGAGGAAGCTAGTAGTCTTTTCAGACCTGTCCAGTGACCATTCTTCAAAAGGGGAGACCTAAGAGAACATAATCTGTCCTAATTGTAAGTATTACAGGGCTGCGGTGCAGTAGTCCCATCTAGAACCAAGAAATGAGGTAAGTAAAGTTTACCTTTGAGAGTCAGCCTTACTGCTCAGGGGCCAGATATGCAGAGCTGTGTGAGGGATAAGAAAGGGCTTTTAGGCCAGCAAGACCACAATAGTCATCAGCTTCAACTTACTAACATGTCTAAAGAAAAGAATGTGTCAATTCTGGAAGGGCCGGGTGTGCTCTAACTTTGGAAAGCAGGAGAGGCCAGAGAGACAAGGCTGGCTGCCCCTTTCTACACACATCTAGGGGAAGGGTCTAAACCCTCAGGGCTTTCCTCCCAGTGGAAAGGCTGACCTCAGTCCAAGGTGAACGCTGGGGCTGACAGGTTCTGAGCATTTTTAGGACAGTGTAGGACAATGATTAAGGTCCAAATGCTTCACACCTGGGTTTGTATCCTGACTCTGCCACTTATTAGCTACAGGACCAGAACAAGTTTTACAATCTGTACCTCCGCCTTTCCACCTGTGAAACAGGAGCGATGATGATAGTAAGTATCCCCAAGAATTACTGGGAGGATTAAGTGAACATGTATAAAGCACTTAGAATAGGGGCTATTATTCTAATTCCATCGGTGAAGGCATCTCTGGCTGACATGTATGCCTCAGGCCTAATGACATCGAATATTTGCTCTTCTCCTTCTGATGCCACTTTCAACAAGCAACCTACTGCTTCCCACGTAGGGCTGCTTACCCGGAAAAAAAATGTGCTTATCACAGAGATTCTGAGAAATTCTCATCCCGGAGCTTGCAATTTCTTATGGCAAATTGATACATTACTTCTAGTTATGCCTGGGCCTCTGACATCGCTTGACCACAGAGGCAAGATACAGGTGTGATATGAATGGAGGATTTCAGTCCAAGGGCGATCTGTTTTGATTTCTAAATCATCACACTGGCATCCTGGTGCCTATCTCCACCTCAGTGCGTTTGGCAGCACTCAGGCTCCTGAAGAGCGACGTGTGTGAGTCCTCAGCCTCTAAAGCAGAGGGCGGCCCCCAGATGGTTTTCCCACCCAACACTGGAGCCGCCTGTGCTGTCCCGGCCGTGAGTACCTTTACATGAAAGAATAAACAGCTTTTGGAACACTGGTGGGTTAGAAATATAGGAAATAAGGTTGCTACCAGCAGAAGTATAAATCTAAGCATTCCCCTTGACCTACCTGCAGTGACTTCTTTTCCTCAAAAACAAAAAAACCCAAAACTCAAATGTTTCCATTTCATTCTGGGACCCTGCCTGGAATACCAACCACTCGATCTCTGGGGATTGGTCTGGGTTTTTAAACATTCTCCATTAAATGTGTGAGTCATTCTGGAAGGGTCAGAGAGCTTCCAATGATAATACACATCAGTGGGAATGTGTTCAATAGATTTCTTTCCTCCTGACGCCTTGCTGGGTTGGGTTTACCTTTAGGAATTCTGATTTGTGGATTTTGTTTTGGTTTTTGGAGAGAGGGCAGAGAGAGGGGGGAAAAGGAGGGAAAGGAGAAGTGTGAAACACTTCCAGAGTTCCATGAGACCTGCTTAGGATCGGGGAGAACTTGACAGGTTCAAGGACCAGGAGGGTTCTGGGAGGTTCATCTAAGACATGGGTTATGTTGGCATTTCCGCATTGGCCTGGGAAAGTAACCAATGATTATATCATTTCCCAGGAAAAATGCAGCTAGAGCTCCACATATGTCACTCATAAAGGAACTTTTGAGAGAGTCCATTGCAACTGAGTTCTTAAATGGTGGACTTTCTATATTGGATCTCGGGAAGAAAGAGAACGTCACAGGAAGCATTTGGGTGGCACTGGGGGAAAAAAAAAGATAGGTCAGAAGCAGAGGGCATATAATGTGCTAGAAATGGAAGAACATCTGTCTCTGGTGTCTGGGGCAGGCAGCGACCTGCTAAAAACCCCAGCCAGCAAAGACACCTCTCCAGAGACCCGGCAGAAAGACGTCCTGCATTTAAAAAGAAGTTTCCCGCACTCGGGTTATGCTGACGTTTCATTTTGGGGTCTTGGGACAGCCTTCCCTCGTGACTCTCAGGGAACCCAGGGCCTCTGCCTGAGTCTACCTGACAGTCCCTTCGAAAAGGAGAGACAGGTAAGAACTCAGCAGGAGAAGCCGAGACTTGGTTTGAGGAAGCCAGAGGGAGGAGATTTGAATCTAGACACCCCTGGGGGGTAGGACTGAGAGGCGATTCTACAGACGGTGTGAAAGGGGAGGGGGCTTGGGAGCATCAGGCAGGGGACCAACGCAGGACACACAGACCACGCCAACGTGCGGTGTGGGCGCCCGCGGAGAAGGGCGGGTGGAGAAGAGACGCCTGGGGCGGGGTGGAGGGGAAGCTGTCCCTGCGGCGACGTGCGCTCGGAGGAGGGAGGCGGGGAGGGTCGAGAGGGCGCGCGGCGTGTGACCGCCGAGGCTGCGGCGGCTGGAACAGGTGAGCGGCCGCCGGGCGCTGGGTCCCCGCCCTTCCCTGGGAGCGACTCCCCTTACCGACCCTCGCCGGCGCTTAGCCGTTACGCGGCTTCCCCTCGGTTTGGGGTTTTGCCACTGGCAGCTGGTTTTTTTCCCCTTTCCTGTTTCTGTCTCTCCTTCTTCTTTTAGGTTGCTCCACCCCGCCCAGGATCAGGCCAGGGGGAACCGGCCGCACCGCGGTTGCCAACTCGCGCAGGGCGCTTTGGCGAAGTCCCGGAGTGGAGTCCCGCGTCCCGCCTCCTCCCTGCGGGGCGCGCTCTCCTTGCTCCCCCCCGCAACCCTTCCCCACTTTTCCCCCCTTTTGCAATCACATGGCATTTTAAGAATGCCGGAAAGATGGCGGTAGCGGCGGCGGCGGCAGCGGCGGCCGGGCCGGCCGGCGGGGGAGGCGGCCGAGCGCAGCGGAGCGGGCTGCTGGAAGTTTTGGTGCGGGATCGCTGGCACAAAGTTCTGGTGAACTTGAGCGAGGACGCCCTGGTTCTGAGCTGCGAGGAGGGCGCTGCGGGGTACAACGGCATCGGGACCGCCACCAATGGCTCGTTCTGCAGGGGCGCCGGCGCGGGGCACCCGGGAGCGGGCGGCGCTCAGCCCCCGGACTCGCCCGCCGGGGTCCGCACCGCCTTCACCGACCTGCCCGAGCAGGTGCCCGAGTCCATCTCGAACCAGAAGCGCGGCGTGAAGGTGCTGAAGCAGGAGCTGGGCGGGCTGGGCATCAGCATCAAGGGGGGCAAGGAGAACAAGATGCCCATCCTCATCAGCAAGATCTTCAAGGGGCTGGCGGCGGACCAAACGCAAGCCCTGTACGTAGGGGACGCCATCCTGTCCGTAAACGGGGCCGACCTGCGGGACGCCACCCACGACGAGGCGGTGCAGGCGCTGAAGCGCGCTGGCAAGGAAGTGCTGCTGGAAGGTGAGGGGTTAATGCCGGGCGGGCCGCTCGGATGCGCAGCGTACGCCCCCCTCCCGCCCCACCGCAGCCGCATCCTCACACCCACCCGCTTGCTGTCACCCACCAGGGGGCCGCAGCGCGCTGCTGGCGGAGTTTTGACAACTTTTGCCCACCTGGGGGCAACTTGTTCCCTCCCTAGGGTTGTCCCAGGCGTTGACCCGTCAGGGGTGTAGGAAAGGGCTAGGCGAAGAGGGTTTCTGTGTCGAGCACCGGGTTGGAGGCGTAGTGATGTTGTCATTTTTTATCCGCGCAAAATCCTTGTGTAGTGTAGGGGCTGGAAGTGAAACTGGCAATGAAGTGTACGCGCCCGCGTTCCGAAGCGAGCTCACTGAGTAATAGCAACTCTGACAGTTTTCTGCTTTGGCACAATTTTCTTCTCAGGAGCCTGGGCTGCCCAGCTAAAAAAAAGGGTTGAATCTCAAAGGTGCCAGAGAGGGGTGGCAACGTGTGAATGCTAGAACTCCCACCACCCTTCCCGATTTCCTCCTTTCAAATTGGAAACTGGGCTTCTGGCTCGGGAGCTGTGCCCAGGGCTGGGAAGTGAGGTGCAGCTGTATGCAAAAGTTCACTTCTGCTGCCAGGTGTTTGGCCCGTCCCTCTGGATTCCAGGTTGCTCCGGTGGAGGGCTGGTGAAGTGGTGTTTCTGCCTGCATCTTCCCCCGGTGTTTCCCCTCCGTTCCCCCGGAGTGATGTGGAAACAACTTTGCATTTGTAAACAGTTTCCCCTGCGTGTGAGGTGTCTTAGAAACTACTCTCTTGAGATCTTATGTCCCCATTCTCCTAGTTACCGAATGTGAGCAGAATAGGTAGCACCGTTTTGTGCGCTTTTGTGACCGTGGGGCGTTACGTGGCGCAGAAGGGCAGTGGTAAGGGGATGACGCATTCTCCTTTCCCACTACAGCTGCATTTTTCACTGGATGCCTGCCACTCTGCCCCTTAGCTTGCTTTGTACATAGCTCTTTCAGCACTAATGTCATGGAAATATCTATTTATTCAGCTTTTCCCCTGCTGTAGATTGAGTTATCTGGGGTCTTTGATTTAGTTTGGGTCATCTCCCTTGAGCTCCATGACATGCTTGCTGAGTCAACGAATAAATGAACCCATGGCCATTGAAACAATGTTTCAACTGAGACCTTGTAAACCAGGTGGTTGATTTAAGCCTAAATTAAGAACTTAAGTCAATTTCCTGCTCATCAGTTGTGGTGCTGGTGTGTGAAACCCAGAAAGTTCGAAGTTGGGAAACCAACTGTTCCCTGTAACAGCTGATGCAACTCTCTGGTACATGGCCCACATCCTGGCCTAGAATACACATCCCCCCCCCTTATTTGTCTAGAGGATTTGTGATGTCTTCATATTTAATTGCTACCCAGGATCCAGAAAGTGGAAGGCTATTTGCTTTGGCTTTATGGTTAACATAAGTAAACAAAAAAAGTTTTCTTGATTCAAGTGTGTGTCGGCTTCTGTGACAAGGGGCAGGTGGAATCTGGAGCAAGTGTAGTTTGGACTATAAACGGCTGAATACCTGTTTGGCTTGTAATATTTACTGCAAAATATCGGGGCACACAGGCAGGTCGCTTCTATTTCAGGCACTGCCCTTCATTATGTCTCTTCTCCTCAGTTTCACTTTAATGAATAGTGATTTAGCAAAGAAGTAAAAAAAAAAAACAACAACAACTCTCTCACCCCAAAAGAGGAAGAAAATGTGACTCGCTACAGTTTAAAATAAACTTAGACGAAGAAAAAAAGTCAAGCAGTTGTCTGACTTTATTGGTGCAGCAACTGAAAAGTGAGCTTTGTAAAAATCTCTGAAGGTAACATTCTTACAACGGATTGTTGTGTGTTCCAGGCAGGACCTCCAGGGGCAGACCTATGGGCTTCTTAGACACGACCCACCTGGGCTTTGGGCAGCAGTCTTATTCCAAGCCTGAGTTTTCAGAAATTGACTGCTATTAAGATAAGCAAGAAACCCTCCCCCCCCCCCAAAAAAAAAAACACTGTCTCTTCTTCTGAGAGTATTGGTCCGAAATGAGGTGGGAATGATCATGTATCATCAAATCAAACAGCACACAACCTCTCTTTTGTAGCTTGGCCTAGTACAGGGATTCCCAGCTGAAGGTGCTTTTCAGAATCACGGGAAGGGCTTTTTAAAATCACCTATCGGGACTTCCCTGGCGGTCCAGTGGTTAAGACTTCGCCTTCCAATGCAGGGGGTGTAGGTTCAATCCCTGGTCCAGGAGCTAAGATCCCACATGCCTCACAGCCAAAAAACCAAAACATAAAACAGAAGCAATATTGTAACAACTTCAATAAAGACTAAAAATGGTCCACATCAAAAAAAAAAAATCTTGAAAAATATTTAATAAAATAAAATCACCTATCTACTTGCTACTGCACTGAAATGCCATCTTGATTTCAGAATTTCTACATAGGAAAGTCTTTGCTGATGTACTCTAGTTGGACCAGAGGGCTAAGGGAGATGTATTAAAGATATATTTATATGGCAAAGACACTGTTTTCTATTTAGATTGCTTTTTTTGGTTTGTATGATTTTTGAGGGAGCGGCTGGAGACTAGTTTCATCCCTCAACCGCAGCCAATATGACCCCCATTACATGACATGCGCCCCCTAGTGGAGACTGACTGCCTCTACTAATGGTACATCCTGTGAAATGAAACCCCGCCCAGCAAATTTCAATGCCAGCGTTCTAGTCTTAGATTCTGCCACAGAAGGATGTCAACCTCCTTGAGCCTCAGTGTTTTCTGAAAAATGAGAATAAAGAAATGCTTACTTACTGGGCTGCTGTATGGAAGAGCACTCTGAGAATTTAAAAAGGCCTGGGGAGGGGGGCGGGACAGAATGTATTAAATGCCTGCTGTGATTATTTTTACAATTCATATGAAGATGAAATTGCCCCTTCTAAGGGACACACCTTTCCTATTCCTTTACTAGAGTTTATATTTTTTAATTTTTATTGTTTTTTTGTTGTTGTTGTTTTTGTACTATAGAACTGTAATGTTAGGAGACCTTTGCTCTGGGAAAAGAGAATCACAGCAACAGCTAATATCTCTTGAGCACTTAATATGTGCCAGGTTTTACTTATATTTGTTCGTGTACACTTCTGGTAACCCCATGAGGTTAGTGCTACTGTTGCTTACTTTACTGATGGGAAACTGAAGTTTACAGACTTTACACGTTTAAAGTTTACAGGTTATTTGCATAAACTACCAGAGCTAGAAGGCATCCAGGTCTATCAGACTTAAAAGCTCATACTTAAAACCTCCAGGTGAAATTGATACTCTGAGCTTCTGCTTCAACTGCGTGCTTGAATCAGTTGAAGCTTCATCAGTTATTGGGCTCAAGATGTCCTTCCCCACTACTCGAATGTGCTGACATGCTTGGGCCGGCTTTGAGCAGGAAACAGCAATTGTGTGGACCGCTCAAAAGGGAGAGACAGGAAAGAGGATTGAGTCTCAAAGCCCTCATCACCAAGTGTCTGGCTATCAAGAGGGAGCGGCTGCGATATGGCCCAAATTTACAATGTGACTGAGCCTCCATCATTAAACACATGGCGGGCAAAGAGACTCAATTGCAATTCAGACTTAAAGAGTGAATAAACTATGCCAGTGAAGTCAGTGTTAAACCAAACGTGCATCAAAGTTAAGATCAGAAATCTTCACACTGTGAACTCCTTTCCCATTTTAGGGAGGTGGGAACAGGGACCCTGCATTCAGCCATGCAGATATTCAACCTCACAACTCCAGGGGTGCACCCTCTGGAGTTGGGCAGGGCGTACCTGCATAGACGTCTTTGGCAGCTTTGGGTACAGAAGGGGGGGTGGGGGAAGAGGTTTTTGCCCTTATATTAATAGTAAAATCATAATTTGGCCTATATCAACCTTTTTGTAACTGAAGCGACAATAAAATTGGTTTCTTCAGAACTTTGTTGAGATCAAGGAGTGCAGAATGTTCCGGAAGTGGAGGTGAGGGGTGGACAGAATTATCCTTGGGTACAGAGGTCACTTATGGAACTAGACTAGAAAAAATAGAAACGCAAAGGAGAAAGTCAGAGACAGTTGTTGGCATTAACCTTCTCCATCAGAGTTCCTCCCTCAGTACTACTCCCAGGAATGCTTGTCTGCTGAGATCATCTAAAATGTCACTTTCATAATCACTTTCTCCAGTGGTGGAGGTAGGGATGATGGGGCAGGGAGACGGCAGGGTGCAAGGGAAGGGCAGTGATTTTGCTGGCATTCAATCTCAGGATTGGATGAGAATTTGAAGTTTAAAAAATATTAATTTATTTAGGATGTACAGATTCTTAAAGAATACCCAAGAACCCTGGAATTAGAATCTTGAAACTTGAGTTATCTTTTAACTAATAATTACACTTTTTGCAATATACTTTATTTCTTTGGACCTTAATTTTCTTCATTGGAAAGCTAGAAAGCTGCAGTAAGCCATCTCTAAACCTTATTTCACTTCATAACTTATAAATTCAGACCCAACACACTTTTATTAACAAATCTTTCTAACACCCCTTTTATTATCATGAAATGAATTTCATAAATATAACCTAACTCTAATTTAAATTTAAAATCAAAATAATGCCCTATTATTAACATGAAAAAATGAAGTGAATTATAAAAAATAATGTTTCAACAGATAACTGCATGGTACAACTACACCAGAGGTCATAATGAAGGAGGTAGATGCTAGGACTTGTATGTAAAATTACTATCGATGCATAGCTACAAATGAAGATGGGTAGGGGTATGTAGTATCACTTGGGATCTGGAAAAATCTTGCACTGTGAAGGACTGGCTCAGACGTTGCAAGGTGTCTTGGATCCCTGGCGGCTATCACTAAATGCTAGTCGTATGCCAGCATGACCCACCTTGACCTCTAAAATGCCTCCATAAGTTTATGAACTGCTATTGGGGAAGGGCAAGAACCAACCTCTTA